ACAACAGCCAGCTGATGATGGCCACGTGTCCTTCTACAGTGACAGCTCAGGTCCAAGTTAGCAGGCACCATCATCTTATTTCTCCACCCTCCTTGTCGTTGCAGCAGTGCTCCCACTTCAGAGCGGGAGGAATAAACACAGGGAATTTAGCTGTATCTGCCAACACTCCTCTTCCTCCACGCCTTGAAGATCATGATCATGGCAAAGGGAAAGAATAATTTTTGTGAGCAGCCATTGGCCACACGCAATGGCCCGCTGCTGCCTGCGCTTGTACGAAACAGTGACAGAGGACATTCGCATCACAGTTCTCTGTTCATGGGATGTTCAAGGATGTGCCTGAGGAAAGGTCTGTTGTCTACAGTCTGCGGTTCCAGGTGATAAGGCAGCGTTTGGCTCAAGCACTGAAAACTTCCATGTTTGAAACAATGCAGAAAAGTTAAAGTAACAACCAAGACTTCTGTGATGCACCACAGGCCAGCAGGCAACTGATAATGTAGTAATACATTCAAAACCAACCTTAGAAAGTCAGAGGCTTTGGGTCTCCTGTGCCAACCATACCTTTAAGAGGCATACCATTTCTCTAGCTGGAAGGAAGACATGGGCCTTGATCATCTGTACGTAACGCTGTAACTTGTCCAAAGCACTGCTGCTGTATTTCAAGCCTGTGCATGCAGGACCCGTGACACGTGCTGGGATTATGTACGCTGCCAGCAGCATTGCTGGCTTACTGGTGTCTCATGCAAGCAGATGTTGAATTACCCAACCACGTCTTCACGCATGAGTTCTGTGTTGGCTCTTGCAGAGGTTATGGGGAACCACAGTCATTCGCCCTGCAACCTACCAGCTTGTTGTGGGGCTTCTACAGGTCTGCCACCCAGAAGCAGCTGCAGAGTCTAAATACCTGATGCCCTCCTACTGCCCTTCAGGGGAGTACCTTTTGCAGCCTTTTAAACTACCATCTCATCTCAAACTCACAGCTCTTACAGTTTGCAGTTATTTTTATGGCCCACCTGAACAATTCCCAACCAGACACAGGACTTTCCCTTCCCACTGCCTTTGGCAGGAATAGATTTGACAAATTCTCTTAGCCTGATCTGTTACACCGGCAGGGAAGCCCTTTCTAATTCCTCATCATTACTTAAAAGCCACTGTAGCAGCGTCGGACTAAGACGGAAGAAACGGTCTTTCCCCAGCACAGTTCCCGTGACCAGGAATCGGAGAACTGAGAAAAGTTCACACAACGCAGCGCTGAGAATCCCCTGGCAATACCCTCCGCTATACTTCCACAGCGCTCCTGTATTTCTGGGACGCCAGGTAAGTGCTGTGGCCGCTCCCTCCTGGCCGCGGCTACTATCGCCCCTTTCACCAGGGACGGCCACCCGTGCTGCAGCCCTCTTCTGAAGGGCCCCGAGCTGCAGGCAGCCACGTCCCAGCATTCGAGAGGGGACGGTCCGCAGGAGAAAGGGGGGGCCG